CTCTACAATAAAACAGTTTAGTGCAGGACGTCCAAAGATATTAACAGGAGGATGTGAAAAACAGACTGATAAGGCTGAATTTTACTCAGGTGTAACGAAAGTCTGATTTGAGGGTTGTTTATATTTCACATCATTAATCAGAATCTGCAAAGTAACAAAAATAAATGTAGTAGAGTAAAAATACCAGGTTGACCTCTGAATTGTAGTGGAGTAGAACAAAGTAGTACATGCTGCTGTAACAAAAACATTTCCCAAATTGGGATTAATAAAGTATCTTATCTTAAGATGATCGATGGCTACTGCCATATTTGCTAAATGTGCATCTGAACCTTGACAAGTGCATGTTTCAGGCTTATCAATTAACAACAGGAGGGGTCACAGACATAAGACCAGCTGTTAAATAAAGCTCTTCTGACCTTAGCTGTCATGTGGGTATATTAATGCTGCCCATTATGGGCACAAGCAATTTTCACCCATGTATTAATTATATGTTTTAAATTTGATAACACCAATGTGTTTCGTATCCCCTAAACCTCCAGGGATGTATACAGTTTAATACTGGCAACTTCTAATTGTGGGAAATACGAAAACGTCTTATAAAACTACAATTCCCAGTAGAGACGTGCCATAGAACATATTGCGAAACACACAATAGCCAGCATGTGTAATTCTGTGGGGGAGGGCTGGGCTGGACCCGTCCAAGTCCAGTTTTGGATAGTCTGGCGTGGTTCCATTCCATTTCAAAGAGCTGTTTGACATTCGGCGTAACCTTGTCGCACTGCCACTCCAACATCCAATCACAGAGCTTGAGGGCTAATCACGGGGTTTGTAAAGCAAGGCGGATGTTGTAGTCCCAAACGATAGCTGGGGATTCTGGGTAGTGTAGTGTCTTCGGAAAACTCTGTAGTGTCTAAACTCCGAAAAAAACTATTTGTTTCTCCGAATCGAAGGTTAAAAACACAAAAGCATTGTACACAATTTAAACCAATCAATATTGTGTAATTAACAAGGATAAACTGATGTTTTTAAGTGGATGAGTAATGGAGATCATTTGACAGTGTGGGGAATACTTCCGGTTTTATTATGAAAACTTCGAGACCGGAAATACTGTTTTCACCCATGCTAACTTTACATGGAAGCTGCCCCATATACAGTACACGTTCTCCTGGCGAGACCTCAAATTATCTTCGTATATCTATCAAACTGTAGATCCTACACATCCACTGGACGTAGATTATAAAAGTACAATATACACTTCTCGCTAGAAATCTAATAAAAAAGCATTTTAATGGCCAAACTATTCCACAATTTAGGATTTTCCAGAGGGTAATTTGTGAATAAACGACCCTCCGGAGCGTTTGCAATCGACAGGAGCATGTTGTTTCTTACACGACCACTAGAGGTGCTACACTTTTTAAAACGTGACTCTGGGTCGTATTTAGCTGCTGAACAATCGACCTATATGGTCGTTTTTTGTAGGAGGACAGGCTGGATTTTCTATCTGGATTAAAGTGCACTATGGAAAGATGAAATATGAAAACTGGCTTGCTGTGTAAATAATGTAAAGAAAAATGGCGTGATGTCTGTGAAAGAAAACATTTTTAAAAGCACTTTGTTGTGAGGTGGACGTTTGTACCGTACATCAGAGTTTGTCATGAGTGTATCTTTGTAGAGGAGACAGAGGCTGTTTTCTTATTGATGAAAAATGACAAAAATGTCCAACGTCCCGATGTTTTAACAGGAAACAGTAAAACAATTACAAGTGCTCCACCCGATATTAATGGCACCTCTACTTTCCAAAAAATCTATCCATCATTGTAAGCAATCAAAGTCTCAAAGCGACACATGTTTACCAAGCCCCCCGGAACCATTAAAGCCATTTTCGCAGTGGTCAAACGTTGGTACTAAAACTTCTGTGTCAGTTCATGCCATGGCGTAATTGGGTCCCAAAATGACGTTTTCCCATTGGCTAACATTGGGAGAGAGAAGTCTGTTAATCATTGTATATTTTAATATAATTATGTTTGCTAAATCCACTGCCCCAATATCAGCAACCAAAAGTCGTCAAATGTGTTAAAAACAAATCTAGGGTTACTTTTCCTCGCAATTGATTTGACGGAGAACCACGGTATATTTTTGTTCTCGAAAGTAATGCCATCTGGTCACATCGTAACATTTTTCAAAGAATTTGAAAAAATGATGGAATGCAAAAACTGTAGAGTTATATTTGTATTTATTCATGTTAGCAAACTATGGATAAGCTTAAAATGGGAATAATTTGGGTAAAACTGTGAGCTGGATATGGGGCCTGTTGACATGTGTTTTTGAGGACAAAGGAAGATGGGGGAAGGTGAGAGCATGTCCTGATTTGCATTCAACTTAGAACGAGCTACAGTGGTTGTGATATTAAGAGAGGTCCCTTGGGTTTCTCTGGTGGTTATCAACAGTAGCAGTTAAGTGAATACTGTTCAAACAATACCTGTGTTTGTGTTTTATATTGATTTCTCTGTTTTATCCTTTCATAAATGTAAGGACTACAAATGGCTATAAACATTCTGGGCTGGTTGGAGTAAACAGGGTTTTATTGCTCTGTGGGGGAGGTGTAGGTATGCAGGCCTTGAGACCTTTTGTTGTAAAGTGAGCCTGTTTGGTTTCCTGCTGGCCAGCGTTGCGTCTCCCAATGAGATGACCTGAAAAGATGACCAGCTGACCTAACACCAAACCCCTCCTTCTTACTCTGGTATATATCCGGTGGATCCCAAAAAGGAATTCGCATATCACCGCAGCACATCAATTCTCAAGTATCACCTCAATGCAAAACATATAGCAGCTAGCGTGGACGTTAGCCTCTTTTATCGCGTTCACACCAAAAAGAGCTGGTACTAAAATTAGTTCATGAGAACCTTTTTACCTCCACGAGAGTCCCTGCTAGAGAGCAGAGAGCTGCTAGAGAGCAGGGACTTTCGTACGGCTCTCTTGTGAGAAAAGAGCTATATTTCTGATTGGCTGGGCGGATTGCAAACCACGCCCCGTAAAACTCCCAAAAAGTTTTGTGAAGCCGCCATTTTATTATCCTCGCATTAGCATTAGCATTAGCCCAGCGCAGAAACGCAGAGAGACTAATTTATGGCAACACAAAATAAAACATGGGAGCGGTAGAGATGAGGAGGTGTCGGCGTTCTGGCCCCAACTCCGGGGACTTCCGGCCGGGGACTTTGGGCGGCAGTATACGCCGTTTGCGGCCTGCCAGTAAACCCAAAGCAGAAGAAGAAGAAGTGACGTCAGCGGCTTCATTTGCCTAATCCTCCCCCAGGTTCAAAGAGTTCTCATGAACTAAATTCTCATGAACCTTTGTGGGAAAAGTACTGCGGTGTGAATGCGCCTAATGGTATACTAAAATCCATGTGAAAAAAATTGCTTCTCACTGTTCTTAGGTCAAATATTTATATGTGATTAAAAATGCGATTAATTTCGATTAATTAATTACAAAGCCTCTAATTAATTAGATTAATTTTTTTAATCGAGTCCCGGCCCTAATTTTCATACTTTCATACGTCTTGCAGTGTGTCTATAAATGCAGTAGAACACAACCCCTGTGGTGTTTCTCTTTTCTTTTCAAGGAACAGCGAGTTTGCTCACAGAAAGGTGAGGAATCTCACAGGTTTAATATCAAGTGTGATCCTGCATAAACTGACATTTCTCCGAAATTCATTTCAGTTTGTTTCAGAACTGCAACTGTGCCATGGGTTGCATAAAACCATTCCTTACCGAAGCATACGGGGGGAACAAATCCAGGGAGCGCTCGTATTTCTGAGTGATGAAAGCTGGTGTCTGGTGTGTGTGTCGTCTGGCCGGGGAAGAGAGGGGACGCTTCACTGACAGCTCCTTCTCTTTGTAGGAAGACGATGTTATTCCCCATTGAGACATTTGTCGAGTCAGACACCGTGTGGGTTTGCTGTGTCTTTGTGTGTGAATGTCTCTCTAAGTCATTGTAAAATCTTCTCCGAGTGGTAATTGAAAAAAAAATCACCCTATATATCAATTGATAATGTGCTGACTGAACAGCACAAAGCTGCTCCACACACATGTAATGTTCTGTTGTGTTATCGTTCTTACATGCATTGCTACACAGGCATTTCGATTTTTCTTAATTCATTGAATTTTTTCATTAAAAAAAAACAAGACATAACAATATGGAAATGCCTGAAATGGGACACCCATATAAACTATCCAAAGCTTGAGAATATGGGCCCTGACACTTAACATGAAGTATTTACAATAGACAATGCTAACACATTTCAAATGGGAACAAGTGTATGTTAAAAACTGAAAAACTACAAGCAAAAAAAAAACACATAACACTAACCTAATACATTAACATCTAAACGAATCCTTACTAGTAAATGGTTTTAGTACATTAAAGAGGATTTCATATGCTTCTTTTCAGGTTGTATTCTGTGCCTCTACTTTGACATGTCCCCATGCTTTAATGTTCATAATTGTCTTTCTTTTTCTCACACTGCCTGTGCTGCAGCACCTATTTTCACCTTCTGTCTGAAACCAGAGCCCAGTCTGCTCTGATTGGTTAGCTGTTTGGCCGGCTCTGTTGGTTGATTGGTCAACTGCTTAGAGATATCCCGCCCCTTAACCTATCACATACAACGTTTTGGAGCACTAGCTAATAGAAGCAAGAGTGTTACGGTGTGATGTCATTATGTTGCCGACAATGGAGGCTTTTCAAGCAGTGTGTTGGAGAGCAAATCTTTCTAGGGGGAATTTGGGATTTTAGCCTTTGAAGACCATTTACATGCACACAAACCTATTAAAAGAATAATAGGGCCCCTTTGATTTGATCAATCTATACATTGGTATAAAATAGGTAAGACGTAATAAACAAAAACACATTAAAAGGGAAGATAATGGAACAAATGAAATCCCTATATTTCCCTTCTCGTGTTGGAAGCATTAATGAAACTCTTTCTCCTGTTTGCCCTGCCCAGGTGAGCCTGATGCACAACGGGTGGCCGGTGATTTCAGCGTTTGCCGGCGACCAGGATGTGACGCGCGAGGCGGCCAGCAATGGGGTTCTGATCCAGATGGAGAAGGGAGACCGGGCCTACCTCAAACTGGAGAGAGGAAACCTAATGGGAGGATGGAAATACTCCACCTTCTCCGGCTTCCTGGTGTTCCCCGTGTAGAGGGAGAGGAAGAGGAGGAGGAGCAGGAGGAGGAGGAGGAGCAGGGGGTGGAAACGAACGAGGAGGACCTGGGGAATGGCGAAGGAAAAGGCAGATGGAGGAAGAAGAGGGGCGTTGGAAAGAGCAAAGGACGTGAATAAGATGGTGGAAAAGAGAAGCGGGGATGTGACAACAGACTCTGTTTGGGACGCTGCATAGGGAGGAGGGAGATGTTAGAGATGTATGACACAGAGCGATTATACTTCGGTAAAAGAGAGAGGAATTATGAAGCCAGTACATGAAGGTGTATGGCCAGCTTCTTCACTTCCCTTCCTCCTTGTATCCATCCTTTTCATCCATCTGTTCCTCCCTCTGTTTTCTTCGTGGCTTGACTGCAGCTTTGGACAGCCAAAACCTTTTTTATTCTCTGCTGAAAGAAGCAAGTGATCATTTATATGTTCCAGCGTGTACTGAAGCCCGAGTGTACCCCCCCTTCTTTCTCCACATTCATTCAATCATTCATTCATCGATCTCCATCAACATAAGCTTTGAAGAATGTTTCTTGAATAACTGCTCCCCCCATATCCCATTTACTGTGGATATTTGAAGTCATTTGATTACATACATTGCACTGACTTCAGGTCAGACTCTAGCCCTAAAGCCAAACTCTAACTTCCATAGGAGGAACAGTACAATGGCACTCAAACACCTTTGCCAAGGCCAATGGTGCATTCATGTGCTACTTGGATGGTCCAATTTCCTGGTTGGGAAGTCGCTCTTCAAAGACAACATTCGGAATATTGGAGAACAATTATAAAGTAGACATTTCACAAAACACGGATTTAAGTTAACTGTAACATTTAGAAGTTATAAACACTCTCTATCAATCTTTTCAATACTGATTTGTGACTCTGGTGACTCTATCTAATGAACCTTAATGTGGTATTGATACAAGTCACACAGAAAGCATTGCTACATGCTACGTTACCTCCTTCTGTGTGTTTTTCATCTCTGGCAGCCACACAAACATTTAAATCCGCCTCCATCCTTTCCTACCGTGCTTTTATCCCGAGCTCCATCTCCCTCCTTCACTGCTGCTGTTTCTTTCAGATTCGTACCTCTCCCTCTCCAGGATCCTCGTCTCCTTTTCGACTATGCCGTTTACCCACAAGTGCAGATTTCTCTCTTTCTTTTTTGTATACCTCTGTTATCCCCTCACTCCCCCCCTCTCTTCCTTTCTGTCCTCCCCTCTCCTCCCTTGTGTCTGTCCTTTATCTGCTGCTCTACTCGTTTGCCTCCCAGCACGGATCCTTCCTTGCTATTCTTCAATGTTGGACTTTGGACACTGAAACCAACTTACAACCACGAACTCTATAATATATAGTTTATATATATATATATATATATATATACACATATGTATAAATATATATGCATATATATATATACATTTACACAGTATATATACAAAAGGATATATAAATATAGCAAGATTTAAGCCACCATTTCTATTCTACTGGTATTATGATGACAATAATGATAATTCTAATACTGAAAACTGAATCTGGTTTGATGACTATAATATCTGTATTTCCGTACTTCAGTGTTATATAAAAGAAAAAAAATATTCTAAGAGAAACTTACTAGTGATTGTGTGTGGAAATCTGAGGCTGCCGTTCTGCTCTTCTGATTAAAAACATGCTTCTTGTTTTTGTTTTGGGTCAAACCAAGTTGTGACGGAAAAGCTGAGACTACTACTTATGTAAAAAAACCTACAGCTAAAAAAGTATTTTTATTTATTTGTATTATTTGTACCTTTATTTTTAATATTATTATTATTATTATGAATCAATCAATTTATTAAATGTTTTTCTTTTTTTATTTGCTCTGAAATCAATAAAATGTAAATGGTACTTTTATTTTTCTTAAACCTACTTTAAGCCTGGCAGTTTATTTTGCGGAAGCTGGCATGACTTCTGAAAGCAAACAGAAGCACACACAGCCCCTGGTGTGTTGTGTGTGAAACGGTGGGTGGTGTTCACTATATGTGTCTTTCTTGTTATTGTCTCCTCCTGTCTCCACATCTCTGTGGATCTTCACTTTTCTCTCTATATCCAATTCCTTCTTACTCTCTGTCCCTATTCCTCTCATGGTGCCTCTTAACCTTTACTCTTCTTTTCCATTTGTTTATGTTTTATTTTTTAGGATGCTCATCCTTCTCTTTCTCTCTCCACTCTGTTGGTTTTTGAAGGTTTTTTGGTAAGTTTTTCTCCAGACTTTATAATGAGCTCCGGGGGGGAAATTAGAGCTGGAATAACAAGCAAACATCAACATCATCTCCCTTCTTCCTCCTGCACTCCCTCCTTCTCCTCTTCTTCTTTGCCCCCTCATCGGTCTTCATTTCTTCTCGTCCCACCTCTTGATTCTCCTTCCTGTCAGTCCTCTTTTACACATCTTCATCTCCCCAACATCCCTCGGTTGCCTATTCCTGACTCGCTTTTTCTCTCTTCCTCTGCTGAGACCAGTCTTAATGGCACTTCCTTTCTCCTACGTTCCCCTTTTCTCTTAGACTTCCTCATTATTTTGTTAGACTGTGTTTTTGTTGTTGCTTTTTTACTTCAGTTTCTGTAATTGCCATAAATATGGGACCATTTTTCTACTGTTAATTATGCTAGAACAACTGGGGTTGTCTTACTTCCTTAAACACTCTCTCTCTTTGTGTTGCTGTATCTCGTTAAAGTCCCTCTATTTCTAAGTCTTTCAAACGAAAAAACAAAATAAGTTGTTTGTATACATGGATAAACTAATGGGATGAAGAGGTCTAACTTTGTAGGAGGTAGATAAGGAGATAGAGACTTCAAATATCATAATGCAGACTGTTAGCTTGGCAGCTAGCTTAGCGGCTAGCTAAACGTAAAGGAGGTTCAGTATTTCCCACTTACTAATTAGCTGGTCTTGTTAACATGTTCCTTGAAATGCTAGTTTTTCCCTGTATTTCTAATCTTTAATATCCGTGTTCTCTATGCTAAGCCAACAGTCTTAAGTGTTAACAAAAATCCAACAATGTCAGTTTGCTGTGAGAAGTTTCCTAGATTAATGAGTTCAATGATTATCAGATTGTCGAAAAATGCTATGCGGATATACTATTGCTCTACTATTGTGGGAGAGCTAATTTATTTATTCAGCAATTTGTTAAACTTTGAGTGGACAAGGAGTCGAACGGGAGATACTTTTGTAAGACTCAAAAAGTTTCTTGAAAACACAAATTAACTTGCGATTGATGATTTTTGATGTAGAAAACTGAATTTCAATTAAGTTGAGGCGGCCAGATACACAATTTATGCTGTAAACATCCATAGAGAAAGAGCAGTCCTAGATGTAGCATGCTATCAATTCAATTGGCATATACACATAATCCAACAGTTTTGTTTTGAGTTAACATGTCAAATGAACAATATAAAAGTATGGTCCACTTTCTTTATTGACTTTGATTGACGATTCAATGGCAGGTTAATCTGGTTACAAGATCATAATTCCTTTCCTTGTAGACCTGTTCACGTCACTTATGGACTTATCCCACAGGGTGTGAAGTGAAAAAATACTATGAAACTGTGTAATACTCGCCTGCAAATGTTACATTTAAAGTGCCTTATCATTAAGTTAATAATGTTAGGAGTGGCTCTGGGCACCTTCATACAAGTTGACAGGTGTTATTAGGTTTGCGACCTTGCTTAGGACTAATAAGCCTCCAAGTTGTTGTTGTTATCATCCTTATAAATAAAATAATATATCGAATAGCAAATAAATCTCGTGTAAAAAAATCCCACGGTGTGTAGAGGCAGGGATCAGACAAGGGGGATCAGGAACTAAATGTAAGTTGGGTGTTACAGTTGTTTGTTTTATCGTGTCTGTGTCATAGTGGAAGTAAACCTTCAAGGCATCTAGTAGCCTCTCATTGTCCTGACATTAACACGGACACAGACATTTATTTGCCTTCTACCGACCTAGTTCTATGACATTGGCCCACGGGATCATTTCGATCGCATATAAATATAGTAAAGCAAATAAATACACACAATATTTTCTTTCTACTGACGGGGAAGGAAAAAGACAACCTTCAATGACAGAATATTTTGTCAGCCTGGTCTATCATCAACGTCACAGCTAAAAAAATGGATGACACAGTGACCATTTAAAAAATATAAAAAGGTGTCTACATACATTTTTTATTGATTTCTAAAAGCGCTTATTACACTGTATCTACCTTATTTTAGATAAATATGTTTACATGCTCAAAATATGATATCCCCCATTTCAATATATATTTTCAACTAAGCTTCATGTCCTACAGGACTAATGAAGGATGAACAAATCCTTTGATAAGCATTATACTTGATAAAATGTGCGTAGCAATAAACTGCTAATAAACAGTTTACTAAGGTAATAAGACATTAATTGTTAATGTCAGCCATGATACAGTCTATCATTTATAAACCTATTATGTTATATTATCAAGCCAATCATGAAGTAACATAAGCTATAGCATTGCCTATAACAAATAAACCGTAAAATAACTATAACTAAAGTTGAATTAACTGTCAATTTACAATTTGTTTGTCATAATTGTTATAAAGTGTAACCAAATTCCCTTCCTTGCCTGTTGATATCCAGGTCTTTGAAATGAGGTTGTTCCTTCAGACCAGAAATAGGGGCTTTTTCTTCGGCCTACCCCAGCCTTGCAAACGGTTGGCTAGTTTGTTTGTGTACGATGCACAAAGCTGGTCATACAAAGGCAAGATGCTAGTAAAAACCCAAGTTGAGAGGCACATGTTGTGTACATGTCCCCTGAATGATACCCACCATGTATTAATCTGAAAAACATTCTGAATAAACCCTGATTTGGAATATCCAAACGGAATATGTTGTTTACTGTTTATGAGCCTTAAGGAATTCCGAATATTGTCATAGTGTGCATGTTAGCATAGTAAATGTATCATATATTGAGAAAGGTTGTCCTAATTTAAAACAAGTGCCATAAAAGAAGGGGAATATTGGTGTTGTATGGCTATTATCACAATCATGCCAATACAATATTTGATGATTACCGTTGTTTTAATCACAATATGTATTCTTTCTTTGTAGGAGTCTGCTCACTCAATGGGAACATTAGCTTCTAAGAATCTCTGACAGTGTGGAATGTGTGTGCGTGTGTTTGAGAGTGTGTGTTAATTTTGCTCACAGCAGCAGGTCCAGAAGCCTTGTCCTCCAGCAGTAATCTGATTGTGGAAGAGCGAGGGAGACATAATTGTTTGCAGCAGGTCACCGCATAGCAAACAAAGTGTGTTAGTCAGTGTGTGTGCGTGTGTGTGTGTGTTTATGGCTCTCCTCTCTTTCTCTCCTTTCAATGTCAAAAGAAAGCTGACAGTTGGGTCTGATGCAGCATTATATTTTCAGCTCTATGGAAATGTGCTCACACATATTTACAGTTGCCAAGAACACAACACACACACACACACACACACACACACACACACACACACACACACACACACACACACACACACACACACACACACACACAAACACACACACACACACACACACACACACACACACACACACACACACACACACTTCCTGCTGCCATACACACTTTGGCCCCCATGCCCTCTCACTCCAGCCAGATGGGCAGTCAACAAGACAAACCAATAGAGAGCGAATCAGAAAAAAGAACGGACCAGCCATTATTTTTGCCGGACGGATAACCTCTGACCTCTACCCAACTAACCCACTTTGCAGGTCACACACATCCACACAAATGCAGACACATTCATTGCAGCTTGATCCCTACAATTTGTATCTGGCATCGAGTCCCTAAGGCCCTCCCCTTTTTCTCACCCTTTGTCACTCAAAAGGCACTTTCAAAACCACATAAACATTTTAGGGTAAATGTTTCAATACTTAAATTCAAGCATTTGGCTTATATCAGAAAAGTAAAAACATCATGTCTCAACACGACCGCTCATGGTTCGATTGGGAAAAACTGCGCCAAAAACTGCGCCAAAAACCCATTATTCCAACAAACTGTTATCCCATGAATAACAAACTCTCTGGAACAAGCAGAACATGCGCGTGTATTGTTGTTATGCAGAGTGACCCTATCAGATCCTCCCCATATTTTATATGTTATGATTACAAAGTCATGACCCGCACTACCGCGTCAAGTAGTGTTCCTTTGCTCTGTTGGTTGGGTAGGTGAGGTTTAGGCATAAGAAGTAAGATTGACTAAGTTTAAGCGTAAAAATACCACGGTTAGCCAACCAGACGCAGAGTGGGGCTATCATGCCTTCGCCATGGTGTAAAAAAAATATTGCGACCAAACTGTAACAATGGGGGATCACATACTGTTGTCCACTGGGAAATGTAAAACAATGGGCTCCTAGAAAAATGGCAC